CCGGTGATGGACAGAGTAAATAAGATACTTTATGGTTCACTTTTCTTATTGCCACAGGACATGTCAAAACAGCTCAGTGTTGAAGCCATTCAGATGGCCTTTCTTGCTTAAAGGTGCCTTCAGTCTTTTGTTTCAATATCCCTTCTCATGGGGGGCGTATAGGGTAATAAAAGTTTAAAGAGGAGGAAAAATACCTCACTGAATTATTGAATTAAGTGCAAAGTGTATTTTCGTCCCAGTCCAGCCTGATACTAAATTTTAATCTGCCATGTAGGGATGAGAGATTTCTTCTGTACTTTGTTTTCAGAAAGATTTGAGGGGGAAAAAGTATCTAGTGAATAGTATCAGTTTATGCTCTTAAAACTCCAGACTTTGTCAGAGAGCAGACAGCTGAAGCCATGTCTTCAAGATGTGTGTGAGATGAGGTGTGCAGTTCAGTAAATTCTTGCTATTCATCATCCAAAGAACTGGAGGTAGGTGTTAAGAGTCTACAGTTTTGAATTTTATGGGACAGGATGGTTTTTCCCATCTCTGCACCTAGGGGATCTGGAAAGCAGCAAGGAATGTCAATTAAATTGAAGGGCTGTTTGACTTCTGTTTTGCTTACCTCCCTGAAAATGTAGTGTTTGCCCCCTTCCTTCTGCTCTTTCCCCTTTACAGTTCTAGATCTTATATCTGAGTTTGGGGTGAGAACACAGGTTGCTCTCAGAGGGGGGATAGAGGTTGACTTGGGAGGATATATGGTTTTTCTGAATAGGAGGAATTAGGTACAGGATGAAATAGATGAGGTGTGACCTTGTGAAACCCAGCTAGAAATGCCACAATCTCAGGCAGAAGATTTCTCATCGGATTTCTCCACTCCCTTTGAGATAACATTTCACCATTCTTTGAAAAATGATCTTTTATAACCACATTGCAGCAGAGATGAATGCATGTTATGTTTGTTTTGCTGGAGAAATATTTCTTGTAGAAATAATGAAATTGAGGCCATGGATATGTGCACAGACACTCCCAAAGTCTAAGTGTTGTAAAATGGCATACATCTATGACCTCTCTGGCTCGCTCCCAGTTTGATTCCAGTGATAGTGCTTTGGCCTTTGGGGAATACTGCACCAGAGCTTGAGACCAGAGACTTGGTAAGGCACAGCATGATGTGGATGTGAAAGCCCACAGGACCGCAGTCCAGAGGAAGAGCATCTTTTGGTGCTGATGATTTTCCAAGTGAAAATCAGTCCTAGAAGGCACCCGTGTTTGTATAAGCCATCACTTACCATATTGCTGACTAAATTTCTAAGTGCTTGTATCTCTAAGCAGACTTATTTGATTTCTCACACTTTTAAAAGGTCGTGAGGAAGCCTTGCGAGTAGTTGACTGTGAAGACAGAAAGTGAACAAGTAAAGTATCAGCACTAGGGTATTCCTGCTATGGTATAAAGGAAGGATGCACATATGCCAGTGCTGATCTCCAGCCAGGGCAGAAGAGAGTGAGATTGCTCTGAGGATATCCTATAGATAAAGCCTGTGAGGAACTGAAGTATATATACGGAGAGTAGTCCTGCAGTGTCACGAGGTGAGCTGCCACACTGGGGAAAAGCTCCTTTCTCTAGTCTCTTTGGTTACATGAGTGCCAGCTTCATTGCCCTGGTCCAGACCCTTCATTCCTCTGATCAGCTCGTCTGCTTGCAGATAAGCTGACAACCTCCTGGGGCACATCAGCAGTTGCACGCAGCTTTGCCAAAACGTGAGTTAGCCCGAGCGGTCCTCTTTGCTGCTATGGCCCATCAGCTTCAGGCAACTGAGTTAAGTACACATGAACACCCATCTAAGGATTCGATATGGATGTACTTATGCTGTCCTCAAGCCCTGGCTTTGTTGTGGAGTCTACCAGTGCCAGTCTCCACCTAACATTTCTGTTAACGCTAACTGTGTGCTTGTCTGCTAGCTTGTTTTCTGATTATGAATGGCACAGACTGCTTGTAGACTGTGTGAAGTGCCGTTTCCTTGTAATCATTTTAAAATTTATAAACTTTTTTAGTAACTCCTTGTTTTCCTGTTGAGATAAAGTGTGAAAGTAGTTTCTCAGAAGATTTTAGCCATCTGCATTATACTACTATAAACACTGACTTGCAGCTCACAGCCGTGTTTTTTTTCTATAAGCCTGGGAGAAGCCAGGCATCTCCTGTTTGGGGTCCCACTGGGGCTGGAGGGGCTGCCCTCAGTGAGCTGGAAGTGCTGAGGGTTAGGAGATGCTTTCTGAAAGGTAAAAGACAGTATTTTTCACAAAACTTTACAAATCCCACCCACCAGCAACCTTGGAGCCAGTGATGACTACTTTGATTTCTTATGGCAAGTTTACACAATGTAATAAGGATCTGGCAGAACATCAGTTTGCAGGTTGTGTCCTCAAGTTGTGTAACAACACTTCCTTGGCCAAAGTTAAAAAAAAACAAAACAAAAAAATGCAAAGGCAACTGGAAAATGAAGCTATGTAGGAAGCTCTGAGTTTTTTTCTTTTTTGAGGATATATATGACCTTGAGTCCCAACACATTGAGAAATATGTTTTGAGGACTCTGACATCTTGACATGTTTCTGCCAGTCTGCTGGAGTGAGGGGGGGATTCAATTCAGCATTGCTCTCTGGGTGGGACACATGCCGGGTATTTGGGAGATTTTGCGTTCTGTTCCAGACTTTGACTTTTTTTTTTTAGGGCAAACTACTTCCTTGGTTTGTGCTTGTCATTGCTGTTTCTATTCTGCACGGGTGTATTCTCTCACTTTCCATTTTAATTCCTGTCCTGGCACCTCTGTCTTGGGGTGGTGTCCAAGTTGGAAGGCAGAGGCACTCAGCACCTCTTGTCTGCTGGCTGCACTTCCCCACGGTCACTGTGTGCCCAGAGCTCACCACGGAGGGCAAAAGGCAAAGAGCTGTAAGTAACCTCAAACGTATTTGGATTTTTGCTTTTTCGGGGAGCCCCACTTTTACAGACAGGGTGCAGCAGCAAACAGGTATTTTGCCCTGGCCTGGACTCTGTCTCCTGTTTCCTGGTGAAAGCAATGATGAATTATGAACACTTGCCATCTTACCAGATTCTCACTCTCTTGCCTTCGAACTGAGAGCAGGGAGGTTGTGCAGCTCTATCAGGCAGCACAAGGAGACCTGCAATGCTTTAAGCCATTATGGCCTAATACAAAGGTATTTTTATTTCTCTCAGCTCATGTTGGGCAGCTACATTTGTACGAGGAGCTGTTCCTTCACAATTCTCTAGAACATGTCTCTCTGGGGGTGCTGGTGGAGAGGCTGTTCTGTTCTGACCGTTTCTGCCACCAGATCAGATCTGCCTTCATTAACGGATAACCAAATCAAACAAAACCTCCAACCTTTCACTTAAGAGACTGCAGCAAACCACACCAAGGTCACACCAGTCTGCAAAGTTGACTGACTTTGCAGCTAACAGTCTTACAGTAAGTTAATAAGGAAGCTTTTTTGTTGGCTTCAATGCACACAGGTTACAAGACATCTGGGGAAGTGTTTTGTTTTGTTTTTGTTTTTCTTTAAAACGTTGAATTAATCTCTCATGTACTTACATTTATATGGCCGTTGATATGCTTCTGATGTATTGATTGTTGGAGTTTTGCTCGCAGACAAGAATAAACAGGTTTTTTCTATGTACAGTACAGTGAAGGAATGAACAAAGTAATTGCTCTGTAGGGCTTCATCTCTTTTTTAAGCCAGCACCGTTGGTGCAAGGAGCCAGGAACACAGGTAAGGAAAAAGATGTAATACCAGTTCTCTTCTTGGTTCGTTGGCAAGACTGCTGATTTCTCTGTCGTCGGTTTTACCGTATTTTGGGTTTCATTATACTTAAATCTCTCTGAAAGGCTTGTTCATTGATGAATTATTGTGTAAAAAGTGCTCCGAGTTCTCACTACGACAGCTGTGTGAAGACTTACTGCCTTTCTTTACTAAAGGAGGAAGCAATGTTTTGACTTGATGCAATTTCATTTTTCTCAGCAAGGTATAAAAATCGTGATAGCATATGTAGCTAAAAACCTAAAATGGAAAACAGTTGCATATTTAATTTCAAATTTTTCAAAATGAAATCTTTTGGAGTATTATTTTAAAACAAATACTTTGCTTTTAAAACTTCCTATTGGGTTTTGGGTTTTTTGAGGCAAAACAAAATGATAATGTTCTACTGTAACAGCCTATCAAATTTAGTGTTGATTCAATCTCATGGGAGGGGGAAAATTCTTTTGTAATTTTCAATGAATAAATATTTTGTCTGGAAAACATTTTTCAAGTTTACTAGGCATTATTACTTCCTAAAGACTGCCTGTAACATTCTGCTTCATCAAATAAAGTTTGATTGATGGCTGGAGTAAGAAATAGGCTAGGTGTTCTGTCTTCTGCTGTTGGTAGAAAATTCGGATGAGCTTTGAATAGTGATGGTTTGCGGTTTAGACAGACTAGTCAAAACTAAGAACAACAAGAAGCTGAAGGAAGGATTCACTTATGCAAAGGGGGTTTATAGGTATATGAAAATGAATTGTTTATGGGGTAATAGATGGGGCTGCTTACTCTTAAGGTCCTGTTTGTTGTTTTATATGTTTTATAGGAAGGGCTGTCACATGCTTTTATTCTTATTTCTAGAAAATATCGAGAATACTTCTAAGCAATGAAGAGCAAAAGCACGTCTTTATTTGTCACATTCAAAATTATTTATAAGCAACTTCTTAAATAAAAATAATGCGCAGTCATGATTAGTACTCCTGATAAATAAGTGGCCAAAGAAGTCATTGTGATTTCTGGTCCTTAGAGTATTAATTAAATTACTGACAAATGTCTGTCATGCATTATCACCTCTTTCTAGGTACACTGCTTAGCAACTTTGTCTTGTGAAGCAGATTTACAGACTTTGCAAATTAGAAGAGATGTCTCTTTAAGGATACAGGCACAACTGTAAGTTTCTTGAGCTTTTGTTACCTGTCCGTGTGCTGTAGATGGAGACCTTCACTGCGGACAAGACTATGTTAATGCACCTGATCCTGCTGACCCTGGTGATTGGGAGCAGCTGGGGGTGCTACTGTGAACGTTACCCATGGGGGTCGTGGTCTGCCTGTTCACAAACCTGCAATTATGGCACACAGACCAGGCACAGGTAGGGCCAAGCTATCTCATTACTTCTAAGTTTCTATTTATTCCCTGAGAAAATACCACTTCTGGGGAGGGGGACATGTGTCTGAAGCTCCAGCTTCCATAATATACTGAGAAAAATTGTCATATCCAAGTGTTTACCAGATGAATAGATTATATTTTAATTGCAAGACTTAAAAATTACAAAATTATGTATATAGAGCATTACAGTGCCTCCAAACAAACCTATATCTGCCAACACACGTACTGAGGAGAGAACAGCCATGTCCTGTGATGACCTTGCCGGCAGCGTGCATTGAGCAACCAGCCCCTGAGAGCACTCGGGGCCGGGGCTTGGTGCCCCGCTCTGGGAGCTCTGCCCAGTGCAGAGCAATGCCGTGGGAGGGGTGAGCTCCAGCGTGGCAAGCCTACAGAAAGTTCCTCCCTGTATGATTAATTTTATGACCACAGTTGAAGTCAAATAAAGATTCAGCAGCACCAAATTAGACGCAATTCAGTGGTATACTCTAAACTTGTGAGAAATCCCCTCTTTTCCTCCTGGCTCTTTCTGTAGCTATTCTCTGGCACTTTAAAGTGACATGAATAAAAAAGAATTCCTCTGTAAACCTAAGGTATATTTGGATTTTTCTTTTAAGCGACATTCTGCAACTACCTATTACCTCTCAATTTTTTTCTTTGGGCTCAAATAATTTTCTTTATCAACCTTCACCCACAATTAGAGAACATCTACGATCCGTCTATGATTCCTTCCTAGCATAACCTGTTAAATTTTTTTAGGCAAATAAGAATGGATGAATATTATAGCCAAAACTTCTGTGACCGGCTGTGCACAAAGCAGGAATCTCGTGCATGTAACCAGCAAACATGTCCTATCAACTGTCGGCTTGGAGACTTTGGCCCTTGGTCAGAATGTGACCCATGCGTTAAAAAACAAGTAGGTAGAAAATGTTTTATATGTGTTAAATGCAAGAAATTATGCTTAAGAGACCTCTTTGTTTCAGACATTAAACTTTATGGCAATTGATCTGCAAGATGAGAGTCTAGGTTAACAAGGGAAATTGGTTAAGAATTATAACAGTAGAAGATAGAGAGAACAAGTTAAAATAAGCAGATCGAAACAGAAAGGGATGATTTAGTAGTGTAAATTCATTTATGAGAACTTGCTTCAAAAGTTCCAGTGTCATTATTAAAGATGATTTTTCCACATAAAGGATAAATTAAGTTGTAGAGTTTGCATGTCTGTTTAAGCAGGAGAAAGTCACAGAATCTTTAACTTATCCATAGCATTCTGTACGTTCTAAAGACAAGGAAAATAATAGGCTCAAATAATCTGTTGAAAAAAGTTAACTGGCAAATCCTAACCAGCACTGCCTACAAATGCTCAGGCTGTATCTTACACTGATAGTCAGGATTATTTTGAGATTGCTGTTAAGAAATCCAGAACACCATTCCCCCAACCTTTATAGCCTACACAAAAAACAAGTGGATGTACTTAATATCCACGGAACAAAGCCCCAGGATGGTGTTTTTTCCCTTTGGGCTTGTGTCTGTTGACTGATGGTAGACTCAGGGGTGAGATGGCAGAGAGGGAAGAGGTGAAAAGTCAGGTTCAAGTGAATTTAACCTAAAGAAACCAAGCTCTGGCAAATGTAAGGTTGTAGGTAGTGGAGGGGAGCGGAGTGCAGATTGTTTCGGGTAGTTATGTGGCTGGTGGGGCTGAGCTTTGGGGCTGACCATGATAGCAGCTCTGAGTTTCTGTGCAGACACAGCCTACAGCTCTCCTCTGAATATCCTGCTCACCTTCAGAAATCCATGCCTGAACAGCAATCTTGAAAAACCTGGCCGATACCATAAGTATATCTTTACATACATATATAAATTTCTGATGCCCATGCAGGATGAGGAAGACATGAAGAAGCTGTTCTAGGCATGAGATGTGAACCACCCTGTGCGGTTGCCATCCTGCAACTGGGGTGGAGAGGATGAGAGCAGAGCAGGGAGAAACAGTGAGAGAGTGGGAGACAGCAAACAAGCGGCAAAGGCTGAAAGGGGGCATTGCTCTCAATTGAACTGATTTTTTTGTAATCAATAACCTCTTAAATGTCTGAGTTTCTTACCTACGCATCCATATACAGAAGCGTTGTTCATTTTCATTAACTTTAAATGTTGATGCAACATATTTGCTGCTTCAAGCAAAAAGGTGCTTTTGTGGACTGTGATCCATTTTTGCCTCCAAACTATAAAGATCACAGCTTGTAACCTTTATAAATATAAACAACCATCAGAATGGAGGATGTGACTTCCAAGGTAAGTGTGAAGACTAGTGTAAGAAAGCTCCCAGTGAGGGGGAGGGATGAAGAGGTGGAAGCTCACACAAATAATATAGTGGGTGTTATGGATCCCAAATGGAGTACAAGGAAGGGTTATCTTGAGCTCAAAAGCTTTCAGATGGTCTGGTGTTGCTCCTTGCACTCTCCCTTCATAGTCACTCTTCACTGATTTTTACTAGACATCTTCCTGCATTGTTTAACTCCAGGGTCTGTCTACAGGGAGGGAAGTAACAGAAGTCTGCAAGGAACTGTGCTTTACCAGTGGTGAAAAATTCTTAGAGGAGGAACTGTTCGGTCACATGCAGACAGGTCTCGCCAGCAGTCCCTTGAAGTGGAGTGGGAAACATATCTGAACTGATTTGTCCAGCAGCCTTCAGCTTTGTTATTCTGCATGGAGGATACTGACTTGGGGAAAGAAAACCGAGTGAGCTCCAGATTTTTCTCCCAGGTCTTCTTTAGTAACAGAAACTTTCAGGAAAACCATTTTTGTCCTCCCTGGTCATCCAATGCTCCTCAGACAAGAGGTCCCCTCTGTGGGAATCAAACCAGCTGGTTTGGGGATGGGGATACATGCTACTGTCAGACTATTTCTCTTTCAACAGAGAGGATAAAGAACAGGAAAAATATCCGTAAGTCTGTTCACACACCATTTCCTACAGTACCTTTAAACCTGAAGATACAGGGATTGAACTTCTGATTCTTCCAGTGATGTAACACAGCTTGTCAAGTGTTTAATCATGTATGCTCTGTCAGGGCTATTTGAGGCACTTGGATTTCAGTTCCCTGCCTGCCTTACCTGGGATGATGGTGCAGTAGGATGTAAGGACAAAAATAACTGATTATTTCCTTCAGGGCTCTGGTTTTGATAAAGCTTCAGCAGCACTGAGGCATGTGGCCCTGCCTGGGGGGCACCTAGCTACAAAAACAGCTCACACAAACAACGCTGGTTTTATTTCTTCTGCCTTTCAGTTTCGTGTCCGGACACTCCTGGGACCATCCCAGTTTGGGGGTCAGGCCTGTACTGAGCCGCTGGTGGATTCCCGCCCATGCTTCCCATCTAAGCTCTGCAACATAGTGGAAGTTGGTTGCAAGAATAAATTTCAATGTGAAAGCGGTAATGATAATCTTCATTGTGTAATTGCTGCATTATTAGACAGTCAAAAGATTAGACAGACAAAAAAGGTCCAGATGGTCCAGGTCTTGTATATTCCATGCACAAATTCCAAGGAAAAGGAGCAGGGAGAAAAGTCTACTTAAGGATTTCATATGTGCCAGTAGCAGCTCATGTTTGCAGTTTCTTCTGTAACTAAAAGTAATTCAGGTGCAATCTCTAGCCTGGTCAATATGGCCATGATAGTTAGACAATAGTTCTGTTCCAATAATATTTCTTTGCACAAATCTTTCATGTACAAACACATCCATAGAGTTTGCCTGAACATAAACTTGCACTGTTTTTATGAAATTTGTGGGTATTTCTTGCTTGCTTCAATTTAAATATACCTGATCAGCCTTAAAATAACCTTATCCACATATCCTTTTGCTAAACCTTAAATTAAGCCTTTGCAGCTTCAAAGCAAGGCAAAACTGGCAGAACTGAAACATCCGTTTCTTACTGGAATAATCTAGGCATTATACTGTCTTGCTGTTAATTCCTGTGGCAAGTTCACACCTTTGCTAGGGAAAAAGACAGACTGCTCTTTTCTGCGCTCAGACATGGTGAATTTTTGCGTAAAGTTTCTTGCTGCTGCTGTTTCTTTGGTGCAGGTCGCTGTATTGCAAAAAAATTGGAATGTAATGGAGAAAATGACTGTGGGGACAACTCTGATGAAAGAAATTGTGGGAGGAAAAAGACCGTGTGTAACAGAAAGTATGAGAGCATCCCAGGTGTGCAGTTAATAGGCAGTGGGTAAGCCAGCTTTGCTTATTTTTCATAAGCTTGAGATTGTTATCTCCTTAATTTACATAAACAAGATAATCCCCAATTAACATGTGAGAATATCCCATTAAAACACATAATCTCTCAAATTAAAATTACCAAGAAATTATAAAAATACAACCAAACCATCAGGCTAGGACTTGCCCACTGCATCTGCCAGCCCTTCTCTGCACTGCTGGTGCACTAGATAAAGAGCTCTCAGGGAGCAACGCTGTCTGAGCGACCCTTCCTGCCTCACAGCAACCAGAGCATCACGTACAGGCAACTTCTAGCTCAGTTATGCCAAGCGCTTCAGAAATTTTGAAGATGTTCCACTACAGATGTTTCTTTGTCTATGATACATTTCACATGATACCAATCATCACCTCTTCCAGGCTACTAATTTAAGCAGTGTAAAACCTAAACGTGGGATGCCTGTCCCAGGTAGTCTTGCATTTTTTAATTGAATTTTGAACTCAATGCACTCTGGTAACATCACTTGTGGTAGAAATGGAGAACTGCTTGTTCATTTTTCTAGGCCATTTTTAGGTGTTTCTCTGCTTAAGAGTGACTGTCTCAAGCTGATATTGGGATTATCTAGAGGGTTAGGCACTGCTGAAAAGTAGGAAACAGGATTGCTACTACGGCGTTTTTCAGGTGAATTCAGTGTGAATGAGAAGTTCTTGTAGATGAACTTCTTTCAAAGCAGATGCTCATACAGTTTCATTCAAACCTACAAAATATTCAATGCAGCTGTATACCACTAAATGTTTCAGGTCTATATGTGTTTCTGGGGTTGTTTAATCTCTGGAAATAATTTTCTGTTAGATTTCACATTCTGGCAGGAGAGAGCCGAGGGGAAGTCCTTGGCAACTCATTCAATGGAGGACAATGCACAACAGTGAAGCGCAATGAGACAAGGAAATCGTATCGTGTTCCTGCGAACCTGGAGGCTGTCAGCTTTCAGGTATTCTCAAGCAGCAACTCCTAGCTGAAATACCATTGCCATAATCACAATCCAAGTTATGCACTCAACTCTTAGGTAGTAAGTGTGTTTTAGGACAAGATTTCTAAACCTCGTGAGGCCTGAACATGCTTCAGGTGATGTGTGGAAATGGGACTAACTGAGCAGTCGGGTGGCTCTACTCACGCCTTTCAGATCTGTGTTTATTCACTGCATCATATATCAGGGTCAACATGATTGATTTGGGCTTCTCTCCTGCTTCCTCATGGCTGTGGCCATGTTTCTGTTCTGACTTGGTACCAAGGGCCTTGCTCCTAACCCTGACATAATCTGGCCAGAGGCTCATTCAAGTCCAAAGCCCTTTTCAGCTTCACTGCTGTACCAATGGCTGTCCTAACTCCACCTTCCTCCTAGTCACCTGCAGCCTTGGGACACAGTTCTTCCCTGAGCCATTTCATCCCCTCAGTCCTGCCTGTTCCCTGCCCAGCCCCTCCGAAGAGCCGGAAGGAGAGGAGGCAGACACCGAGTCTGGGAGGCAGGAGGACAAGCAGTACACAGTCTGGGGAGGAGTCTTGCCGGATGGGCCAAGGACAAAATGAACAATAATCTGGGAATCCCTGATTTTTTAGAGCTGGTATTTTAGACTTTTAGACACTGATATTGAGAAAATACTTCGAATATCATGGCTAGGGCACAATATCTGGCAGTGCACCTATCGGCAGGCCCTGTCTGAAGCCAACAGATACTGCATTGGGAAGGAAGGAATGCAGGACCTGAAAAAAGCTCAACTAGTGGATGAAATCTGCTGATTTTTGCCACAAGTGCTGGGAGTTTTTAATATTACTTTAACAGGAGCTACTGAACAAAGGACACCCTACTACATTGCATGGAAACAATCATGGCAATTGGATTGGCCCTAACATGTAGGTTTTGTCAATAATGGTGAAAAATTACTGTGTGCAAAAATATTCAATGGGGAAAAGCAAGCCTTGGTTTGCCCAGGTCTCTTTAAAGCTGTGTGGTCTATTAAGATACTGATGTCCATTTGCAGAACTGTTAAGGGTTTGTGAATCTCACCTTTGAGAGTGCATCTATATCTTTTAACATTTAGAGTAGCCTTTGGTATAGAAAGGTCACTGGATCAGGCTTTCTTCTTGGACCTCCAGTGTGTTTTCATGCAAAAGCATATGATTTCTTGGAGAAGGGAGATGGACTGGGGGAATTGACCAACTCACCTCCCAACGTCCTTAGCAGCCCTATTAATAAACAAGTCTAGAGGAGAAAAGAAAATGGAATCTTTCAAACAGTCACAGGGATTTGCCTGAGATCTGGGAAATAAGTCATTCTGAGCTGATGCTAAAATTGTCTTGGTGCTTTGCACAACAGCACTACTGAGGCTTACCGACTTGATCAGGCAGGTTTGCTCCCGGTTCCTCTCCACCTATCCTTAGTCCATCATGCAGTACGGGTGCTAACACTACAAGTATACTTTAAGACTGTCCTCTGGAAACCTGTTCATTCCTCTACCTGAGAATTAAGAAGGAAGGACAGAAACCATCAAGCTCTTTGCCTTGTACAATATAGAAGCCATGGGACTGGGACTTAGTCGTAGTGTGGACATTGCATGAAGGTCTGAGAGTCTTCGAAAAGTGGGTTGAAACACTTGTTGAAAATTATTCCTAAGCTTTGGGGCATGGGGGTGGGGAATTTTAGAAGAAAGTGTTACATGCTTTTTTTTCCCCCTTGTATAAATGTCTATTAGCAAGCCTACTTCTTATCTTGTATTCATCTCGCCTATTAACCTTTCTCAGCCTCATCTTTTTGTTAAGAACAGTTTTTTAGCTTCCTGCCATGTCTCAAATAATCAGGCATGTTTCTTCCATAAAAAAATCAAGAATTCATTGCTTAATAGGTTTCTGTTTCAGATTATTATTTGGGCAAATGCATTTTGCTTTTACTGAATCTCCAGGTAATAGATGAAGAGGATGATGTAACATCAGATTTCTATAATGATTTAACTAGCCTGAGTGATAGTGTTCATGGAAGTAGTTCATCCATTCATGGTGCCCGAAGATCTTCTGGTATAACATTTTTATTTTCAAGAAAGACACGGGTTAAAGTCACATCATCTTCCTCCTTCAAGAAAGCCATTGAAGCCTCATATGAAAAGGTAATTGAATGTTGCCTCCAATTTCTTCCTTTCATTTAATTTCTGTCTGCTCTTTTCAGAACTGAGCTACCAAAAGCTACTTTCTTTATCAAGGCATTGGCATTAAATTTTTTAAGAAAATCAAGAGAATTACGGATTAAGAAGTTCTTCTTTGATACTACAGGATGTTCCTGGTTGTAATGTACCTTCTGTAATGCAACAGGCTTTTCTTTTTTTAGTAGAGAAATCATAAGCTTATTCCACTTAAAAAAGCATAGATTTGACATAGATTTGAGATTATCAGATCAGGTAAACCAGTCCTTTCTCTGTCCTAATTGTAGATTAAGAAGGCAGAATGCCATGTATTAACAGTAGCAGACAACTCTAAAAAGAAATGAAGTGCACCCAGGAATGTTATACATATGGATGTACTGGGAATTAATCTACATTAGTTTTTGATTTGGTAACTAACTTGCGTATTGGATTCTTACAGCTGCCAATATGCACTTGGTCATAAAGATAATCTCAGAAATAACACATTCACAGAAAAGTTTCTGAGAACAGAAAACCTTTTTCCCGTAAAATTCTGCACCTTTAATGCAGATGAATACTGTGGTATACAAGACTATGTACTTTTATGGTTTAGTGGCTATAAGGACGGGCTATTGTTTGCCATAGGACTGACTGAAACTAAGGCCTGTTGAAACCCGGGAGTTCTAATACAATTAGAATTAATTTTTTACAAAAATATCACTCTTAATATTAAGATTTCCTTGTCAAGGAAAGCAGTCAAGTTACCTAATCATTAGGACCAGTTAGCAGGCCTTGCTAACTTGTCCTAATTGTTAAGTAACTTGATTGCTTAAATAGTCCATTAGTTCTAGTTTGAATTCAGCTATATTGAAGCTACTGGAAACCTGTTGCCTTTCATTCCCATGTAGATACCTATATACAGATCAGGCTGTTCTTTTGTACAACTGGTAAGTTTATTTTGGTGGAATGGTAGCTTCTTATTGTCTTAAACCCAGACCAAAGCTATTTATGGAAATGTTATTTTAAATGAAACTTTCATCAGGAAGGTTTTTTGGATGTATGTTGGTTTTCAGCATTGTTGTCATGAAATCCCAGAAACCCACCTGAAATAGTCAAAAACTTAGTCTGGTGTTGGCTAAAGATTACACAGGTTAAATTCATTTCTTAGTGGATCCATAGCAGTAGTTTTAACTTGAGTCTTCCTCATCTTCTCTACTGTATTATATGGGAAATCTCTGTTTTTATCTCTCTCTGTATAAAATTTATTTATGTGTGTTTGTAGATAGATGTATACTTACATACGTTTGAGAGACCTAAAAATGAATTTGCAATGCTTTCTTAAATAGTGAAAATAGAAGTTTATATAGATCGCCTAAAAGGAGGGGAGACTTACCTGGGCTTTGGTAGGTCACATTCAGACCTATATATTAAACTGTGTGCAGAAGGGTTTCACATAAGCACAGCAGGGTCTCTAGAAGGCCCTAGCCACTTGAAAGCTCATGCATTTTTCCATATTGACATGGAAGAAATAGGAAAACTTGAAGTTTTTAAAGTTTATTTTTGTTTACCAGAAACTTTTTTAGATTAGCCAACTAGTCCTCTAGTACGTTTTCTTCATTTCTGATCCTTTAATATAGAACCATAGAATAGTTTGGGTTGCAAGGGACCTTTAAGTCCATCTAGTCCAACCCCCCTGCAATGAGCAGGGACATCTTCAACTCAATCAGGTTGCTCAGGGCCCCGTCCAACCTGACCTTGAATGTGACCTTGAATGTTTCCTGGCATGGCGCATCTGCCGCCTCCCTGGGCAACCTGTGCCAGTGTTTCACCACCCTCATCATAAAAAATTTCTTCCTTATATCTAGTCTGAACCTACCCTCTTTTAGTTTAAAACCGTTACCCCTTATCCTATCACTGCAGGCCCTACTAAAAAGTCTGTCCCCATCTTTCTTATAAGCCCACTTTTAAGTACTAAAGGCCACAATAAGGCCTTCTCTTCTCCAGGCTAAACAACCCCAACTCTCTCAGCCTGTCCTCATAGGAGAGGTGCTTCAGCCCCCTGATCATTTTTGTGGCCCTCCTCTGGACCCGCTCCAACAGGTCCATGTCTTTCCTGTGCTGAGGACTCCAGAGCTGGACACAGTACTCCAGGTGGGGTCTCACCAGAGCAGAGTAGAGGGGTAAAATCACCTCCCTCAACCTGCTGACCATGCCTCTTTTTATGCAGCCCAGGATACGGTTGGCCTTCTGGGCTGTGAGCACACATTGCTGGCTCATGCCCAGCTTTTCATCCATCAGTATCCCCAAGTCCTTCTTTGCCAGGCTGCTCTCAATCCGTTCATCCCTCAGCCTCTATTGATAGCAGGGATTGCCCCAACCCAGGTGCAGGACCTTGCACTTGGCCTTGTTGAACCTCATAAGGTTCACATGGGCCCACTTCTTGAGCTTGTGTAGGTCCCTCTGGATGGCATCCTGTCCCTCAGACGTGTCAACTGCACCACTCAACTTGGCGTCACCTGCAAATTTACTGAGGGTGCACACGATCCCACTCTGTCACTAATGAAGATCTTAAACACTACTGGTCCAGCCAATTCCTTATCCACCAACAGTCTATCTATCAAACCCATCTCTCTCCAATTCAGAGAGAAGGATGTTGTGGGGGACCGTGTCAAAGACGTTACAGAAATCCAGATAGATGACGTCTGTACTCTTCCCCTGTCCACTGATGTAGTCACTCCATTATAGAAGGTCACTAGGTTGGTAAGGCAGGACTTGCCCTTGGTGCCCTTGGTGAAGCCATGCTGGCTGTCTCAAATCACCTCCCTGTCCTCCATGAGCCTTAGCATAGCTTTTAGGAGGATCTGTTCCGTGATCTTCCCAGGCATAGAGGGGAGGATGACAGGTCAGTAGTTACCTGGGTCCTCCTTTCTATCCTTTTAAAAAATGGGTGCAAAGTTTCCCTTTTTCAAGTCTCCAGGGACTTTACCTGAGTGCCATGACTTTTCAAATATTATGGAGAGTGTCTTGCCAACTACATCAGCCAATTCCCTCAGGATTCTGGGATGCATCTCGTCAGGTCCCATAGAGTTATGTACGCTCAGGTTCCTCAGGGGGTCTCAAAACTCATCTTCTCTTACAGTGGGAGAGACTTTTCTCCCGCAGTCCCTGCCTGGAGGTCCATCCATTCAAGAGGTGTGGGAAGAAAGTTTGCCAGTGAAGACAGAGGCAAAAATGTTGTTGAGTACCTCAACCTTCTCCTTGTCCGTTGTTACCAGCTTGCCAGTCTTGTTCATTAGGGGGGCTAGACTTTCTTTGACCTTCCTTTTCTGGCTCACATACCTGTAAAAGCCCTTATTATTATTCTTTGCATCCCTTGCCATGTTCACCTCCAGCCATGCCTTGGGCTTCCTGATCCCATCCCTACACAATCGGGCAACATCCCTATACTTTTCCCAGGATACCTGTCCCTGCTTCCACTGCCTGTGCATTTCCTTCTTGCCCTTTAGCTTGACCAGCAAGTCTTGACTCATCCATGCTGGTCTCTTGCCTTCCTTTCTTGATTTCCTACACCTGGGATTCGAGAGCTCTTGCGCTCTACGGAAAGCGTCCTTAAAGATCATCCTCATGACCTCCCTGATGTCTTGTGTTTGCATCTTGGTAACCATCTAGGGTGGGACTCAGCTTACATATCCATAGGCAACAGCAGTTCCACCGGGATCTGCATCTCAGCTAATCACCCTCATTTTGTATTGATGAAGAGAATTTGAGTGGTTTTCTACATAAATGTCTGTTAACTGAATAGTGCCCTAGTAGGTCTGTAGAGGGAGCACAGGTAACCACCTCTCACTCTTCTCTGTACTAAATATAAGGAAAGATTTTTGAAGTGAGACTGGAATATTATGTAACACATTTTATTATAAACTACTTTACTAATCTTGCCCATCCTGCGCCATGATGTTATTTTTATATCCTTTTTTTTTCATTTTTTTGTCACTGAATTCCCATGCTGTGACGTCAAAGGACTTCTGAAGGCTTTGTATCAGAATTTGTGCCCATTCCCTTAGCCCATGTTCCTAGTATTTCTGGTAGCAGTTAATTGAGTTGGATTGCTTGAACTACAATTCAAAAACTGAGAGCTCAAACATAGGAAGCCATATCCATCCCTGGGCATGTCAGGCAGGAACAGTCATGATTCTGTGGCAACTCTGCTTATGATATTTGGCATGAAAGATTACTTAATCAGCATGTTCGAGTGCAACCCTGCTTTGTTAGAAAATTTCCAATTAAAACTACTGGTTTCAAAATCAGTCCAGCTCAGCTTGTGTTTGGCTGCTTTTTGTCAATGAAGTAGTTTGTATAACAAAACTGAACTTGAGTACTTACACTTGATTTAGTCCAGGCTTTCTTTGGGAATAATCACCCCTGATCTACAAATATTTTGTATTAATACCTGGTACTCAGAGGTCAAGCTTGCTACAGGCACCAGGGTTTACCACTATGATTGAACATGTGCCCAGAAATGACTGGAGATTTTGGAACCCATTTCCTGGGATTGTTCTGTAAGGGAGGGTTTCCAACATTATGCATACCTCAGGGATTTAACATACAAAACACTGGGTTTGACAACTGTAAGGTAAATTGCTAGTAATAAAAGCACTTAATTGCTAGTAATAAAAGCACTTAAAATACTTTTACTAGCAGAAAATGCAAATGTGAGATGCACGTTAGGCAGAAATTCATATTTAGCATGCAAGTGCAAACTAAAACCAACCAAGATTTTAGAATCAGTATTTGCCAAAGTGGCCTGCAATTTTGTGTGTCATAACTGAAATGTTAGGTGGCACAGCTGAAAAATGAGGATCAGAACCTAAATCACCTGAAAATCCTAAAAATGATGTTACTACAGGGTATTTTAGGAGTTGAATATAATCTGGGAGTTGTTACATACGCTGTTTCTTCCATTCTTATTCTCACTGCAGCGGAAAGCTGAGTATCCTTAGCTTATTTTCCAATATGCAAATGAGAGCACTGAAATGAGCAGTGCTGTGCAGAACTGAGAGCTGAGGTCCAGCTCGTGCTTTACATTGCTCAGTCTTGGCTGGGACAGCTCCCTGTATAGATGCATCTTCTGAGCCAAGTGACCTTGGAGACAGAAGAGAAGCCAAACTATCAGCAGCAAAATTCAGCGGAAGAACCCATGTATAAAGCAGTAACAAATTGTTTTATAATGAATCTTTCCTGCCAGTTGGTCATTTGCTCCAGTTTCCTGTCCTTCCTTTTGCTCTTGATCTCTTTGCTTTGGCCTTGTGTCATCAGTTCGCCTTGTCACTTTATAAATCCCTTCTTTCTATTTCTCTCCTTTCTATTTAGTCAAACTCCCACATAAGCCGCCTCTAGCATTGCAAAAATATATGAATTAGCTGTTTCAAAAACATCATTTTTTTTCTAACTGTAAGAGATGTTTTTAGTTTTTGAACTTTTTCTCTTTTTTTTTTTGCTTTTCACATTAACAGCCTGACACTTGAACACAATAAGGTCTCTATCCCTGTGGTTTAGTTTTAGTTTTAGCAGACTGATGAATTGTGAAACTTCATAACGGTGAGTTAGTATCCAAAATATGCACTCACCAAATTAGTTTCAAATGACCCATGGATGCTTATAAGCTGAAGCCTTTCCTCTGAAACTTTTGGTTGTCTTATCAATTGCTGGTGTATTTATTATAGTAAGAATTTTTTTGCTTTCTATTTGGTAGGTGCTCAGGGAGTCCTATTTTTTGTTGGAATGCTATATATTCTGACAATGGAAAGGATTAATGAGCATTGTCCTCAAGAAAACCTCACAGGGCTCTTGGAAACTCCAGGGCTATTTTTTTCATGGTTAAAGCAGCATGATACACAGGATTAATTAGTTCTCGCAATGTATCTCAGGACATACTCTTGGTTCCTCTACTTTCAGCAGTTAACTACCTATGAAGGTGCTAAGACCCCTTTTTCTTATTTCTAGAATTCCAATTTTATTAGAGTCCATAAAGTAATTTCTGTTGCAAACTTCACAATGAAACAGTCAGATCTGCAGCTCTCGGACGTCTTTCTAAAAGCACTTAACCACCTGCCCCTGGAGTACAACTACGCCTTATACAGTAGAATATTTGATGACTTTGGCACTCATTATTACACATCTGGGAAGATGGGTGGTTCCTATGACATTCTTTACCAGTACAGCTCCGAGGAACTGAAGAATTCAGGTATGTAATCTTTAAGAAGAAAATATCATGATTTGTTTACCAGCTTTTCTTATCACTGTTTTTAGGTCTTACACCACATAGTAAGTTCTCCAACAGCAAAAAACCCTTTAGACTTGCGTAGACCCAGGAATTACTCACACTGCCTAAATATAGAGTAAGAAGACATTTTTGCTCTACACTGTCTCAATTTGAAAAGTTCAGAAGGTTCCTTACTTTGTAAATGTCATTGTGTTCAGGGAAAACTCTTAAGACATTCAGCTCAAGATCAGGTGCTACCAGGAAAAGGTGTTCCAGCATACTTCAGTGTGGGACTGAGGTCTGAGAGGTGTAAATGGTACTTACTGGGATGCAGTCATTAAAGTTGTTGGTATTGATTAGAATTTACTCTAAAATATTCCCATGACTGCCAGACTGTCAAATTGAAAAGACAATACCACAAAAGTGGAAATGTAAGGTTAAAAGCTGTGATCCTTAATGCCACTGCTGTAACTTGCATGGGTATGGAAGGGTACCTCAAGGGCATGGTAAGCATGACTCAGTCCAATGCTGTTTGTACCTGGGGAGGTAGGCACCTGCAGTAGTGAAGTCTCCAGAGGTGGGTGAGAAGCAGGGAGACCTGTGATGGCTCAACCCCATGTGGGAGCCTGGGGGCATGGTGCCATCATGTAACGTGGTTATGGTGATGAAGCTGCTGCTCTGTGGTATTTCTAGGCCTGGCAGTGGATGAATCAAAGGAGTGTGTCCAAACAGAAACAACAAGGCGTGTGTTGTTCCGGAAGAAAAAGAAAGTCAGTACCAGATGCACTACAAACAGGATGACTGTGAAACATGAAGGTGACCATGATGAGAACAGTGCCCATGTCCTGTTACTTACCCTGAAAGACACCATTCCCCTAAGCTAGGTGCCCCAGGTGACCTCCCAGCTTTGTTAAATTACAGATGCTCTTCCACCACTGTCAGAGGAGCCAGTGCTTCTCTGTTTGTCTCTGAAGCAAGCACTGGAAACATCCTCTTAGCTGCAAAAGGAATTATGATGTAGGAGCGCTCTTCCTCTGCTCTGGAGCACCATCATTGGGGATCCGGTGGCACTGGCCCTTCCAGTCAGTCACGGATCTGACAAACATTCCCCTGGCCCTGGGTCCAGCTCCAGGCATGCTGAACTGGGAAATGGGCAAAACTAGAAACGTGTGATCATGACTGAATCCCTGATCTTCTTTAAGGGTTGGTCAGGGCTCATTGAGAGAGTTGGGCAGCAATAACACACTCCCTGACCTTCCCCTCCGATCTTCCTCATGCCAGGCAGACATCTAGGTGCAGGAGTTCCCTAGCAATGCCAGAAATGTGTCTCAGAAGCTGCAGAAAGTTGGCGAATTTTCTGCAAGAATGGCAAAAGTCATGTTCTGCATCACTAAAAACAGGGATTTCATCACCTCCACCATGTTTTTGTCCTCATTTTATGATCAAATTCCATTACTCAAGTGTTTGCAGCTGGGACTAAAGATCCTGCCTTGCGGTGTGTTCTTCTAGAGGAGCCTGCTGTATCCCCTGCATTTTCTTGTGTAGTTCTGAGTATCTCCATGGCTGAGGTCTCAGACACTTTCATTTGGAAGATTATGACAGGCTGCTGTCATAGCAAGGATTGTTTTTCTGAGATTAGACTTCATTTTTCCAAGGGTAGCTTCAAAAAATTAATCTTAGTACATTCTTTTATATCCTCTTACGCTTTTTCTTAGAACTCTGTTGTTACCTCCACTGTCTGTAGAGGCCTTTGTCTGACAATACTGTGATGAAATTCCCTTTCAGGTTCCATTTTGGAATCAGCTGAAAGGTCAGTCTCCATGGTAAAAGGCGGCAGGTCAGAGTATGCAGCAGCTCTGGCCTGGGAGAAAAAGGGGGTTTTTCCAGGACATACAGTCTTCACCAACTGGCTGGAATCAACAAAGGACAATCCAGTGGTGATTGACTTTGAGGTAAGAGAAGAACAAGAAAAACATTAAGATAGTAAAGAACTTACCAGTTAGCAGCTCTTCAGAGAGCTGTGCAGGTGTTTTGTCTTTTAAATCAGGATGATGCTGTGTGTGATAAGAATGCACATACATATGGGCATAACATAAACATACACAAGATTTATTAGAACTACTTCTTGTGCATGTTGGTTTATAAGCCACCAGGTTTGCAACGTCCATCGACAGTGAGAGTAAGAGGGAGGAATACAGGTAAATTACTCCGGCACCAGCTAGAGCTCAGGCATGGGCAGGAGTTATTTACTGTGCAAGAAAGCAGTGCATGGTGCTGGGAACAACTTTCCCTGTGCGCTTTCCCTTGTCAGGCCTATGTTGCAAGGTATGCCACATAACTAAACTGAAACAAAACAGCAGTCCCCTGGTATCTCTGTCCTGCTCATTTAATGCAGCGTGCCTCACCGAGCTGCCTGGCTCCCCAGCTGGCACAGCAGCCGCTCAGCAGCAGCAGCAAAGCACTGGAGGCAAACAGCAAAGCCTGCCTGAACGCAGCATGCGGTGATCTTTCTCCCACTGCAGCTGCTGAGCTCCTGAAGGCAGTGTAGGGATGTCTCACATGCCAAGAACTGGGTGTAAGCAAACCCCACATCGCCTATGGTGCCATGAATTTTTAGACATGGTATCCCACTTGGTTGGTTTTCCACTGGCTCACAGAGTCCTAAATTGGGGAAATAAAAGCAATACAAACAGGATGATATACATGGGTCTCTTCTGCCAAGTAACTAGTGATAAGACGAGAGGAAATGGCCTAAAGTTGCTCCAAGGGAGGTTTAGACTGGACATTAGGAAAAACTTCTTTACTGGAAGAGTGGTCAGGCCTTGGAACAGGCTGCCCAGGGAAGTGGTAGAGTCACCATCCCTGGAAGTATTTAAAAGACGTGTAGATGAGGCGCTTAGGGACATGGTTTAGTGGGCATGGTGGTGTTGGGTTGGTGGTTGGACTTGATGATCTTAGAGGTCTTTTCCACGTTAATGATTCTATGATTCTATGATTCTATAGCACTCTCATACTCCTTTAAAGCATCCATAACTTTCAACACGCCTGGCTCCTGTGTGATACATCTTCATATGTAGGCTCTAGTGGCTTTAGAACCCTGCAGCTACCCCCAGCAGGACCCTGCCGTGTCTACGCAACTGCTTACTGAATGGCTGTCTACCAGGTGTCACCCATCGTGGATTTGGTGAAGAATGTGCCATGTGCTGTGACCAAACGCCGCAACCTGTGGAGAGCCCTGAGAGAATACGCGGGCAGGTTTGACCCTTGCCAGTGTGCCCCGTGCCCCAACAACGGCAGGCCTGTGCTTTCTGGGACAGAGTGCCTCTGCCTGTGCCAGGCTGGCACCTATGGCAAAAACTGCGAGACGCAAGCTCCAGGTTACAAATCAGGTATTTGGGGTGATATTGTCATGGTATCTCTATGCAAATGCATGTAGCATGGGGAATAAACAAGAGGAGTTAGAGACGTGCGCACGCCTGCAGGGCTACGATCTTATTGGCATCATGGAGATGTGGTGGGATGGCTCCTATGACTGCAGTGTTGGAATGGAGGGATACAGGCTCTTTAGGAAGGACAGGCAGGGGAGATGAGGAGGGGGTGTCGCCCTCTATGACCAGCTGGAGTGCATGGAGCTCCTCCTGGGGATGGATGAGGAGCCCACTGAGAGCTTCTGGGTCAGGGTTAAAGGGAGGGCAGGGACAGGTGACATTACAGTGGCGGTCTGCTACAGGCCACCCAACCAGGAAGACCGAGCGGATGAGGCCCTCTACAGACAGCTAGGAGCAGCCTCATGTTCACAAGCCCTGGTCCTCATGGGGGACTTCAACCACCCTGATATCTGTTGGAGGGACAACA